TCTTTGTAAAACTTCGTGCTCAATGTGACCAAAAATGGAACTCTTCTGTCATTTATGAGGCGCCAACCAGCTACGTCCAACAGTGACTTCAGCAACCCTTGGAACTCCATGGTCACTGCTCTCACCTTGCTCTCCTCCACAGGCTGGTCCACAACTGTTCCAACCTTTCGAATTTTGGCGTCCACTACCCATGAATTCTGTCTAAATTCCAAGCTCTTGCTAAACAAACCGTGCGTCAGTCGCATATCTCCACCTTCTCCCTTTATCTTCCAACCTCTTCTCAGCAGCTTGTCCAATGCAAGTAGAGCCTCCTTGACGTTGGACAGGGCAAAATTCTCCCTTAGTTCGATCAAATGACCTTCTTCATCCTCAAGCTCGATCATGGCTTAGCGCATGCCACCATTTGTCATCTTCCTTCCTTGAGCATCTCTCAAAGAGGTCATCCGATCAATGGGGAATCCCACTTCTCGGTAGCTCATGGGGAGCACCGAGATGTCAGCTCCTAAGTCGAGGATCACCATTGTTCCGCCAGCGACCGTGCGAACAAAATCAATTTTGTTGCATCCCTTCCTGCGAGGCCTCGAACCTCCACCATCGACCAAGTCCTCAAAACCCACAAAATGAGCTTCTCTTGGCCTTCACTTGGATCTTTGAACATGATCCAATCTTCATATTATCGCTATAGGTGAGGTCATAGGTTTCAATCCCCACCATCCGGACATACCCAACTGCATTATCCTCTTCATCCTCATCGAAGATCACCGTCTCGACCCTTCTGACATTCTTCGAGCTTATTAATGGCGTCGTACCTGATGCCTGCGCAACACTTGCACTATCTCCCACTGAAGTCGTGATAGTGGAAGATATCTCCTTGATTTGCCTCAATGCCCTCATCGGACATTCCTTGCTCCAATGGCCTTTCCCGCCACAGAATTTATAGGTGTCTAAAGATACACCCTTGCCCTTTCCTTTGGCATCTTTGCCTTTGCCATCCTTTTCTTTATACTTGCCCTTGCCCTTCTAGTCTGTGTTGACGTAATTGCCAAAAGCTTTCCCCTTCTGCTTGCCTTTGGACTTACCGCCTTTATCCTTTCCTTTTCCTTTCCCTTTTTCCTTACCTTTCATTCTGTCAACATCCATGGAGATCACCTCATCGTGCTTATCATAGTCCTTAGTGATAGCCAATTCCGGACGTGTCCCCCGTCATCTGCAAATGCTATCTAACTGCAGCTAGCATCATCCTCAACAACACGCTCAACTTGGTGTTATCACCAATGTCCTCCTTAGCCACCTTAGCATACTCTTCAGCCAACCTCTCCAGATCAAACAACTGCTCGACCATAATCATCCCCTTGTCCTTCGGGAGATTGGGGTGATTAAGGAAAACTTATAACCAAACGATCGACCTTAATCTCGTCTTTGGAGCCAATTAGAAATTCATTCAGAGCTAATCACCTCCTCTCATTGATTCCCTCTTCTGAGGCTGGCCTCCCTCTGTCTCACCCTTTGTTTGGCTCGGCGTCCGCCCTTTACTAGCTAGGCCTCCCGCTTCACCGGCTCCTTTTCCGGGCAACCAATATATACCTTGGCCACCTCCTGCCGCCTTAGATTCCACTTACCAGACCGGCCCTCCGTCCAGTCTTATAACTCCGCCGCATAGTTTTAAGGGCTACGTAGACTTTTGGGGGGGGGGGGGTAGCCCTATTTTACTTGCATCTTAGCCGTAGTACCTTCTAAGTAAGTTATTAGACCCTTTGGGAATATAGTCCTTTAATCTTTCAGAATCTAAACTACTTCTTAGGCCATCGCGGCCGATTACTACATAACAACCATCAAAATTTTCGCCACCTGTTCATCCATCTTTTCTTCTTTTCAATATATTTTCTTTTCTTTACTTCTACTTCTCTTCTTCCTCCCTAAATCTCTCTTCTTCCCCCGAAGTATCTTTATCAAGCCCCCCGCATCGGCTCCACTACCATCCAAACACTCGACCAAACGCATAAAACGCACTTTTCGCCTAAAATAACGTCGAATTAAGCCTATATATTACGACATGTATTGCCATGTTATATTCACATAAATAAACAAATATACTATTTTAAATAGATTTAAATATTTAAAATATATCAATATTTTATATACAAATATATATATATATTATATAAACATATGTTAACAAACTAACTATGAAAATATTTTATATTATTATCGATCTATTTTTAATATAGCATTTTAAATCGAAATTTATTGTTTTTCAATATTAAACATATTTTAATGATTTTTTGGTTCAAATTAAGTTGAATATCGTGTTGGGTTGCACTGCTTGTTTAATGGATGTTTCGAGAGGTATCGATAGCCACGATCACGGTACGAAGGTATAATTTGATCAAGCATCGAAATTTTCTTACGGTCAAAGCCTGACAGGAAAAGACCATAGCCAGGAGACCCGAAAGGTCCGCCATAGGCTCTATTGGGCGGCGCCACCATACGCCCAACTGCTCGTTGTGGCCGCCTTGTCTCCCTTCTATCTAGCTTTGTCTCCGGTTTTGTCTCCCTTCTTGGCGGTCACTGTGTCCGTCTTGTCTCCCTTCTGCGCCTTCTTGTCTCGCTTCTTGTTGATGTCTCAAAAAGTTGACTTGGGAATGCTTCGTTGTTGTCCCACCTGTTTGGGGCCTACGGTGGTGTAATTTCTACACTCTTTTTCGGTTTGGATTATTTCTTCGTGCTTAATATTGTTCGGACGGACATATATTTTCCAAACGCATATTTAAATTATTGCTATATTTTTCTTTGGGCCCATTTGGTTCTGCCTGCTTCCCAGCATCTCCAAATGACAAAACCTCTGCCAAAAAAACGAGTTTCCACTTTAAGCGGAGGCTAGGCAAAGGCTTGGGGCGGCTTGGCAGGGCCAGGCGCTGTGGCCGCCCTGCTGGGTCTTAGTCCGCGTCTGCTTTGTACAGCGGTGCGCACTGCTTTTGCAGCAACTGGCTTGGCTTCTCCACCTTGGAGTTTTTATTGGCGCTTGTGTGCTTCATTCTCAGAGATACTACTAGGAGAAAGAAGCTGCTAGGGGCAAAGGTCATCGCTTACTAGCAACAAGGACGCAACTAGGGTCTCCTGGCCATACTACTAGTAACAAGGACGCGACTAGGGGCTC